AGGGTAGACCTCATGTTGTTACGGCAATTTAAAACAATCGGTGTGGCTGCAGTATGGAAGCAGGTGTGGGGGGAGCGGCTGGAGGCCAGAGACCAAGGAGGGAATGCTGAGGTGGTGCAGGCAAAACACGGAGAGACCGAACTAAGGCAGCTGTCGTTTTTGCTCCCGCCACCTGACAGCGCACCGCCCACGACATGCAACGGGGCATCCTCAGGAGAGATGGGAGGAAGGGGCCAGCTGACGGGAACCTCACCCCCCGTTCAAAGAGGTCCACCACCCTCACACATCCCAACCAGCCCTCTCCCTGGGCTCACTTATCATCCTGGGAGGCACAGGACCAACACGAGCCCTCAAGTTTCCGGGTGATATGAGCCCTTCTGGCATCTTGGCACCAAAGGCATGGCTGGGTCCTCACCCCTGTCCCATGATGAGACCCCACCAGTATCCAGACTGCACAGACCCCACATGGAGTGAGGGGACAGGAGGGCAACACATTCTAGGACAAGATGAGCTGCTGGTTATCACTGGGTGGCCTCGTCTAATACCTAAACATCAAATATCTAAAATGGAACAAAGACAGACGTACCAGAACTGCCCCAGACCTCCACCCCTTAAGTGGGGACCCCCACCACTCCTGAGTCTGAGTGGGAGCACTGCCTTTGAAACCTCTGTCCTCAGTGCACTGGCGTGTCGCCGGCCCCGCCATAACCTCTCCTGGCACTCCCTACTTCCCTTTTCAGAACACTCATCCCTGCTAGAATTACAGGTTTCATTTCTGCCCTCCTTGTAAGCTGTTAGCTCCCCGATGGAGTTTACCAGAACTGCATCTGCCTTGTTCACTGTGATTTCCTCGTGCCTAGAACAGAGTCTGGCTCGGAACAGGCCCTCCGGGAGTATCTGTGAGTAGAATCAATAGCATGTGCTGAGGGAGAGGAAAGGGTGGAGGAAGACACCCACAACCCAGAGGCCCTGAGAGAGGAAAAGTGCCTTGCCCAAGTCACCGGCGAGGTGGTAAGAGATCCCAGGTCCTGCTGGGGACTGAGGTGCAGTGCAGGGCCTCCCGCTCATTACACTGTGCTAAAAAGAGGCCGTGCAGCAGACCAGCGTTCCCAAAGCATATTCCACTCAACGCTAGTCTCAAAAGATTCTAGAGGTTAAAAATGTCCTCTAGGCAAATAAGCTCGGGAAACTGGGTTAAACAAAATGAAAAAAAGTATCTTTTCCACCGGACTCTTCAGCCTTTAATATGCTCACGTGCACGATTCTTGGCGAAGGTCAATGCAGTATTCCCCACATCTTTGTGACCGTGGAATTCTGCCTGTGGAACTTGGCTTGAAACCTTTGGTACCATCCCCCAACTGCTTGTCATGATTATTTACTGAACAGGGCATAGCAAGGAGATTTGTTGCAACTTTTTGGGCAGTACAAGAAAACTCTTTTGCACAAATGAAAATGACTCCAAGCTCCAAGATATAAATGGGATAAAAATAGAACTGCTCTGCAATTAGGTAAGAAAAAGGAATAAACGGAATCCAAAGAGGTAATGAAGAAGTGAAACTCTTGCTATTTGCAGATGACATGATTTTAATTTTTTTTTCCCCCCAAAGCCCCAGTAGATAGTTGTATGTCATAGTTGCACATCCTTCTAGTTGCTGTATGTGGGACGCGGCCTCAGCATGGCTG